CACCACTGGCATCAGGCTGTCTCTATTGAGAGCCCGGTGTGGCCGATCAGAGGTGGTTTTATGTCACCAGCTCTGMAAATCCTCACACAAAGATGCAGCAGGAGCTCTTTGGGGGCTGCTGCCAGTTCCTGAAGGTGCCCAGTTGGTTTCACACTCATGGCTTTCCATGAGCACCAATGAAATCAGGGATGTTTCTCATTTTCCTGACTTGGTTTGTTCCAGGGCATTAATTAGAGGAGCCATTAATCAGCCAGGAGCTGAGCCACACCAACCCTGTGTTCTAACCACGGTGGGGAAGGGAAGCTGGAACCAGACCAACTAGGAAATGTTTTCCCAGTCTAAAAATCTTTCCTGCTCTAAAAAAAGTTTTCTTGTTCTAAAAAGTTTTCCTATTCTAAAACAGCATCACTGGAACCAAAGTTTTATTTCTTGAGAATATAAAAATGGCAATCTGTCTTCTTGTGAGAAATAATGAAACACACAGTTTTGTCTCCAAAGACATTTCAGTGCAACTGCTCCTAAACTAAAGTGCCTGGAATGAGCCAATATTTTAGCTCAGATGAAGTTAACACCTTTATTTTAAGCTACCAGTGGGAAAATTAATTTTTAACCACAAAATTCACGTTGAAGTGATTTTTCCATTTCAAATTTCTCTGGAGAAAATGTTTGTTTTTCTGGCTTGTTTTAAAATATGGTCTGTAATCTAACTGTAATTAACTTTGTATGGATGGGGCTGTAATTGCTCTGGTGTATCCTGCAGGCCTGGATGCCCCCAGAGATTTGATTGCCACTGAGGTTCAGTCAGAAGCAGCAGTGATCAGCTGGAGGCCTCCCCGTGCTCCTGTCACTGAATATCTCCTGATCTACGAATCCATCGATGGCAGAGTCAAGGTAAAACCATCTGAGGGGCTGTGGAGATGCTCTGAAGTGGCCACATAATTAATGTGCCTTAATTTAAATACTTCATTTCAAAATACTGATTGCCTCTTTCCGTGCTAGGCTGAACACAAATGAATTTTGAACCTGTTTAAGGATTTTCTGACATTACAGCCTGAAACAGCAGCTCAGTTCCAGGCTGCATTTTTGCCATTCATCCCTCCATAATACCAATAAAAAACATATTTTTCTTCATTCCAAATCTGCATCGTGGAATAAACTCACACCCCCCAAAGGATGGGATTCCTTTTTCTAAACTCATGAGAATCCCTGTGCAAAGGGGTGTCTGAGGCAGGACGAGCTGCTTCTGGAAGTGCCTCTTACTCTCCTGTAGTTTTATTCTGCTCCTGCATAATCAGATTACACAAAATGCTTCAATCTGAATCAGGGGGAATCCCAGCAAAAAAAGACAATTTTGGGTGCCCAGCTTGGCACATCAGAAAAAGTTCTGATTTTGAGGAAGCCAAATTCCCCAAGCACGCTGAAAAATCAGTCTTTTAATGTCCCAGCAAAAGAACCTTTTGAAGCCTGGAATGTAACATTTCCTTGTCCTAAAGGATGATTCTTCCCAGTTTTTTATGAAATTCACAATCTGTACTTTCAGGGCACATAAACATTTATGCTGCCTTGCTTTTAAACCTCACAGCTTSTACATTACGATGATAAACACTCATTTCCATGCAGCTTCTATTTAACTGCTAAAGATCAGSCTTATAAAAATCTTAGAGGAGTAGCTTTATATTAATTAGTCTAGATAGTTAAACACCATCAGTGATTACAACAAAAAACAAYGGGACAGAATAAAACACGTAACATTATGATTTATTTTTTTGAGATTTCCTTGCATTATTTAATTTTTTTTTCCCATAGGAACTCGTCCTAAACCCTGAGACAACTTCCTACAGCCTGACAGAGCTGAGCCCCTCCACCCAGTACACGGTGAAGCTGCAGGCACTGAGCAGGGCCCTGAGGAGCAAAATCATCCAGACCATCCTCACCACGAGTAAGGGCATTGAACACAGCTAAAATCATCGAAATCCTGCTCTCAGGACAGAGAGGGCACACAGAGCTCACACGAGATTTGATCCAATTGTGGTGTGGGTGCAAAGTCCCTGTTCCCCCAGAGGTGTTGCCTGCTCTGCCTTGGCTGGATGAAATCCCAAATCCATTCACATCACCTCACAGGCCTCTCTCTGTGAAAAACCCTGCCTTTCCTGTGAAATACCAACAGGAATTCTTCCCAATCCAGCTGACACCTTGATTTCCCCCTCTATCGATCCCAGCGAGCTGTGAAAACAAATCCGAGTTGGGAGCTGCGAGCCACAAATGCTCACACAAATCAGCGAGGAGATGAATTTCTGGGCAGGTTTTCTTCCTCTCTCAGAGATGGGCTGTCTCAAAGCCCCTCTGCTGTCTGCTCCAGCACTAACAGGACAGCTCAGCAGCAGAGTGCCAGGATAAATTGGCTTTTTTGAAGGTCACCTCGCAGCTGACATTAAAAAAAGGAAGTTGCTGGGTATGAGCTGTGACACTGCGCCTGTCATTTGTCTCACTTTTCACAGTTCCCAGCCTCTCAGGCCCAGCAGGACCTTCAGTCATTGCCATTCCCCCTCCTCCTGGCACCAACTCAAACCCAAGGACTCCCAGAAGTCACCCAGCCCTGAGTCTGYCCTGTCACTGCTTGTGCAGAGCAGGATCAACTCCACCAACAGACCCCCAAACACATCCAGAAATAGGAGAGGGGTTAAATCTGGCTGTGTTTAGGTGATGTTTGGCAAACTGACCGTGAGCAGAGGCTGACCAGGGCACCYTCAGCCATGTGAGCAGTGTCAGACTCATTCACGAAGAGGCTTAAGCCTCTGAACTGTAAAAATCCATTTGTGTCCCTTTAGAGTCAGGGAAACACTGCAGGACCTGCCTGTAGAGTCCCTTCCCTCCAATTCCCAAAGCTGATGGAAACCTGCATGGCCTTAAGTCACACTGGGGAAGTTTAGATTAAATATCAGGAAAAATTTCTTCATGGAAAGAGCTGTAAAGCAGTGGAATAGGCTGTGTTGTCCCTTCTGTGTGACACAATCAGAGATTGGCAGATTTGGGGTTCCCCAAYGTTTGCTGTAGCACAGCTCATGGATCCCAGCCTTTAGCTGGAGGGTGCACTCCCATCCTAGCAGGGAGTGCCTGTCTGGAATTCCCAGCACTTCCAGAAGAGCACACAGGTGTGCAAAAGCCCATTCCAAAGAATTCCCATGCTCTGCTGTACCCTGTGCACATCCTGGGTGCAGGGTGTGATCACAGACCCATTCCTGGGGATTTTCCCAAATCTCCCACACCCCACACATCCCCTGTAACCGCTGATTCCCTAAGGAATGCTTTCCCTTTCCCGTGTGTGCAGCTGGGCTCCTGTACCCCTACCCCAAGGACTGCTCCCAGGCCCTCCTGAACGGYGAGGCCACCTCTGGGCTCTACACCATTTACCTGAACGGGGACAAGGCGCAGCCCCTGGAGGTGTTCTGTGACATGGGCGAGGACGGCGGCGGCTGGATCGTGAGTTTGGGGACAGGGGCAGCCCAGCCCTGATCATCCAGCAATCCCCCAGGGGGCTGTTTGCAGAGCAGGGCTGAGCTGTCTGTAAATTTGGGGGGTTTTGTCTCAGGTGGGACATTTGGGTGCTGAGAACAGGGTTGCCAGATCTTTCTGTCCTCTCCATCAGGTCACATCGGTGGGTTTGGCATGTAAGGAATGCCTGAACCCTCCCCACGGGCAGAGGGAGGGAAGGAGGTACAAACACAGGCCAAGAGRAGCAATTTTTCAGTAGCCATGGGGTGCAGTGGCCAGCCCAGCTCCCCAGACCACTGTGCCAGGGCCACATCCCACCCAGACAAAGGGATGGCAATAAAATGCCAGCTCTCCACTCTGGCATCCCCAAACCTGAACATGCCAGGGGGCACAGAAAGGAAGGAGGAGCTGGAGGAATGCTGATAGGAGGTGAGGGGATGGAAAAACCCCAAGACACCGGAAAAATCCAGAAGTGCAAGCGGGGTTTAAAAAGGCAAAGAGCAAGAACTGAAAGGGCACATCATCCAGAGGAGTTTGGGAACACAACAGAGAAATCAGAGATTTAAAAAACCCTTGGAGCATCCAAGAGCCTGGATGCAGCTCAGTTATTGCAGAGAGGATCTGCTGGGAGGGGTGAAGGCAGGGCAGGAGCCTGAGTTCTGTGTTTGTAAAAACTCATTCCCTCCAGGGCAGTCTGTAACATTTCCTGCTTTTAGGTGTTCCTGMGGCGTCAGAATGGCAAGGAAGATTTCTACAAGAACTGGAAGACTTACGTGGCAGGGTTTGGAGATCCTAAGGAGGAGTTCTGGATAGGTAACGGCTGAGAATTTCTCTTTTTGGAGGGGGAAAAAAACCACAACAAAAAATCCAGACCAACCAACCAAACAAACAAACAAAAAAAACTAACCAAAACGAAAGCAACCAAACAATAAAACCTACCA